GCAACTCAGGACACTACCACTGCGGCAGCTTTGCCTGTGTCTCCAAGGCTTCGATGTTGGGAGAGGCAGCAAGGGCTGGAAGAGTGGAGAGCTGCACACAGCTCCGTCTCCCTTTCCTTGCCTGCCTGCACGTAGTGGGGAGGGGGAAGGAAAGAGAGGCGGGAGCAATTCAAAGCTAGAAAACTCATGGGGAGAGCTAACAGTGGGCGCTGGGGTGGGGACTGTTGTTGCCGCCGCTGCCACTGTGTGTGGAAGCTGGTTGGCGCGTGGATGACTCCGGGGTCTTTCGAAGAGCTGGGAGGCGAGAGAACTGCGTGGCCCAGATTAATTGCTTTTGGGGACCATTTCTTCTGCAGCCCACCAAAATTTTTCCATGTTCCATCAGTGGGCCGCGGCCCACCGGTTGGCGATTGCTGCGCTAATCCATGTTAGGCCTGCTGCTTTACAGTGAGTTTCCCAAGCTGGGAGTCCAAAGCCACCTCTGCTTCTATTTTGCAGTGTACTTAATTTTATTCTTGCTCTTTTGCCCACCCATACAAGTTATTTTGTTTAGATCTAAAAAAAAATTATTGCCCAATTTCACAGGGATTGTTTGAAACAGGTAGAGTATTTTTGGCAGAATATTCATCTTAATGGCCACAATTCTTCCTAGCAAAGATAACTGTATTTCCCCCCACCTTCTAAATCTTTCTTTGTTGTACTAAACTCATATAATTATAATCTTTTATTGATGAGCATCTCGCTGTTAGCCAGATGCCCAAATATTTAACTTTCTTTGCAATCTGCAATCCTGTTTCTTTCTCTAATTCCCTCTTCTGTTCATCTGTTAGATTTTTAATTATCATTTTAGTTTTCTCTTTATTAATTTTAAGGCCGGCTATTTCCCCAAATTTTTCTATCTCCTGTATTAATTTTGGTCCTGTCTCCAATGATTCTTCTATGAAGAATACCAAGTTGTTGGCAAATGCTTGGACCTTATATTCTTCTTGTTTGATTTTAAACCCTCTCATCTCCCGATTCAATCTTATTCTTATTAACATCTGTTACTTTTTTTTTAATAAAAGTTTTATTTAAGTTTTCACAAAACATATAAATACGAATAAAATATCTTTTTTTGAGAACAATGTGATCCTGGGTTATCACTTCTCCATACAGACATAAACTCAATACATATTTATCTTATACAGTCTAATCCACATCTTGTAACTTTTTTTGCAATTTTTTCAATAGCTTTTCCCTTTCTTTACTTCCTATAGCCTTATTTTAAATTATCTCATTCTTGTCCTAATTCAATTACATATCTTTTTCTAATTTTTAAAATCTTTCTAATCAATGTTCTTATACTTTCGTCTGTCCTGTTTACAATTTCATATTATCTTTTCTCATAAAACAAATTTTCCCCTGTAATTACTAGACTGGAGTGTAACACCTTTGTATTTTTTTTTTCAAATCTTGTTTAAAAATTTAAGTTACACCTTTACTTATAACATTCATTTTTTAACCTCTATTTTATAACACATACCTATTTTCAATCAAATTCTGCTTGGTACATTCCCTTAAAAATACACACTAAATTCTTAAAAGAAAAAAGTATATTATGTATATATATCTGTGTATATATGTATAACAATAGTAAATGGAATAATTATTCTATTCAAGTACAGCTCTGCCATAAATATTAATAACAATCTTTTACATTTGTATTTCTTTTAACAAACATTACCTAGTAATATCAGTTGTCTTTTACTTTAATCATCTATATTTCATATTTTACTTATTACTGTCTTTAAATAAAAAAACAAAACAATAGTTATTAACAGTAGTCAATAAAATTATTATTCTTATTCAAATTCATCCTGTCAACTGATAAAAATCTTTTTTTAACTTTCTTTTTAAGTCATTGAGAGCCTTATTCTCTTTACAAACAAATATTCCATTACACATCAATACAATTTTTTCTATCACTTTAATCATCTAAACATATTTTCTAACCCTTTTCTATTTCTAATATAATAATGCTATCCCATGTACCCTTGCAGAATCCTCTCCGTCAGTTAAAATTTAACCATTGTCTCTGTGTCTTTTAAATAGGTTTTTTACCTTTAATTCTTGTACGTTTTTCCTGTACCTTTATATCTTGTTTCTGTCCTTTGTAGCTTCTTTCCTTTCCCTCTTCCCTCTCTTCTTCTCCCTACCCTTTTTATTCCCTTTTCTATCAGATTCTCCCTTCTGTGATCCTCCCTTCTGCTTCTTCCTGATATTATGATTGCTTTTCAAATTACTCTTTTTTTTTGGTTGTTGCTTCAGTGCTTAAGTTTTTAACTCCCTTTCCCCCCCTTTCCCTTTTTTACCCCGCTTAAAGTTGCTTGGTCATTAAAGTTGGCTTCTTCTTTATCCCGCCCTTCTTGTTCTGCCAGCATTTCTTGTTGTTTTTCATAGTTCAAAATCTCCATTTCTAAAAATTGAAATATGAAGCCAAAAGATCCTCTTCCCTCTTGTGCTTCTTCTTTTTGTTCTTTAAGTCTCATTTTTAACTCTTCACGGAGTGATGCCATTTTAAAAAATTTTAAACAACCCCCAATTGATTTTATTTTGTTTCATTAGGATCCACCATCCAAAATTCCAGGAATCATCCAATAATCCAAAACTGTTTCTTGCTTCTTTGCTCACTTTCTCTTTCCAGGGGCTTTGTTATCTTATAACAAAGTTTAAGCTACAATGTATCTCTTGCAAATCTTGTTAAAATTCCACTATCAATTTTTTTAAGTTCCAGGTGGTCTCCATTTTCCAGATTCCACCCTCTTGTTTCCTTTTTCCCTCCTCTGCTTTCTTTCTTTTTTAAAGAAATTTTTTAAACTATCCAAGAATCTTTATCCTTTTGACACTTTATTTTCAGCTAGAAATAGCCTATTAATGTCGAAGTATCAATTTCTTATTTGAATCTCTTCTTTTTAACGTTCCAAGTCAATTAAAACTGTCAATATGAGAGAAAAAAAAGCCAATTCCGTTTCCTTTCCCTTTCTCTTTCACCACTTAAGATCTTTTTTAGGAATAGTATTAGTCTTTAAAATTTAGGTTCCAGGTACCTTAAATAGATGTTATCCATTCGACCCGGTCAGTCAAACTTTCTCCTTTAAACTCCTTCCTGTACAATCTTGTCCGGTCGGGTTCTTCTTTGAGATGGCCATTTCTGACTACTGCTGCAACTGCCTTTGGGAAAGGGTATAATGGCCAGCTGAGGAGGAGAGATGCGTCAACCCCGCTGACGGCTCCCCCTTCTTCACCACCTCTACGGGGTGGCTTCAGTCCTGAATCCGGGTGGCTCGGGGTGCTCCAGCGGCGAGCACAGATCAAAACCGCACACGATCGCAGATTTCAGTCCGTCACTGAAGAAGCCTGAACTGGAAGTCTCCATCTGTTACTTTCAATGAAGGGCCTTTTCAGTTAAGAATTTTCTTAGTTTTGCACTTAGATTTTTATAGACTGTAAATACACAGTTGACATATATGCAAGGTGAAATAACTGTGTTTACCAGAATCAGGGCTTGACCAGATTTAACATATTAGGTCAAAGCCCTCACATCCACTCTGATCCATTTTATCCTTCAGTCCTGGTGAACTACTAGATGAAATGAAACCTATCTCTCCATTGTGTGGTCGAAGTAGAAATTAACAGCCACAGTCGGTAGTCACTATCACTTACATAAACCAGAAGTTTGAGATAAGGGACCCATTACTATTGAAGTCATATGTACTTTAAAATTCTATTTGATTTCTTTCAATGGTAAGTAAAAGGGAACACAAAAATTTGGTCTTTGTCTGCTAGAATTTGCAAGCTACAGTTAGCAGGTTGTAGAACTAATACCAGCAGTATTCCTTTTCTGGTCCCTAAAGGATCATAAAGGTAATAGAGAGTGAAATTATTTGGGGATATTCAGATTACTAATATGGGAAGAATCAACTTCATGAAAACTGTATTGGGAGTTTTTACAATTAGCTCTATCAGTATTTGTTCTAAATTCACCCTCATGTCAGAGAAATAATATGTAGATGCTTGTGGAGATATATATACATTTAACATCACAATCACAAAGCCTTTATATTGGAATTTAATAGCTAAGCAAAAAGACTAAGAGTCAACTATGGTAATTTCTGTGCCATCCAAGTTCTTCCTTGATCAATATGACCAAACTTCCTATTACCCAGACTTGGTTTTTTATTTTCCATGCCAGGGTGACTCAATACTTAAAGCAGTCTACAGTCTACAATCCAGTTGATAGAACTATGACATCAGAGCAAATACAAATGTTGGTTGCATGGTGTAAGGTCACTCCCTCTTCAATTTTCCTTGCAACACTTTGGAGCAGGGGGTGGGGGGATTGTCACTCAATCAAAGGCTTTATTGCTATATGTGTTGTTAACCGATCTATTGTTATCTCCTCAATTTATTATGCCAAGATTCTTTGTTTAATGTGACATCCAAATCCAGCCATTATCTAAACTATCTCCTCTTTGATATTTAAGCTATTACTAATTTTCCATTTGTATTATTATTTAATCTAAAAAAGACAATTGCCTTTTCTGTTTAAGCTCAGTGCAGAGATAAATGGTAGATCCTGGTTTTCTTTATGTGTAATCTTTCTTTTCATTGTTTCCAGAATTATATCTGTATCACAATAAAAAGAAAACCCAGGGTCTAAATGTTTACTAAGCTCTTACCCCTTCCTTCTATACAGTAGCAACTCACTATTAAAAAGTATTTTTGACGTTCTGGATCAACCGCTTCTATGTTTGCATCCCAGGCCCATTTTGCTCATATCTGAAAAGGCTTATTGTGAATTTCTTATAGCAAAGCAGTTCTGCTCAAATATTTATATAACTAGACAACAATTTATCTTGTTATTTGCTGGTTTGGTGAACATTGGCTGTACAAATTCTTAAAATCCTTATACAGAGTAATAGAAATCAAGCATTTTTAATAAATTTGATTTATTTTTTTAGCTCCGCACTTCTCTTGGTAAAGGCAGGGCATTTATTCGCTACTCCTTAGTGCACCAAAGGCTTGCAGACACGTTACAACAGTGTTTTATGAATACCAAAGTAACAAGGTAAACATGGCTGTTTTTGTTCTTCTTGGTAGTGGTGATTACTTAATTGAATTTATATCATTTTTCTTTTTTCATTTTTTAAAGTGACTGGTACTATGCAAGAAGTCCCTTCCTCAATCCAAAACTGAGTTCTGATATTGTTGGTCACCTCTATGAATTAACTGAAATTCAATTTGATTTGGCATCAAGAGGTTATGATTTAGATGCTGGTTGGCCCACATTTGCCAGGTAATGCAAACCTGCTGTCACTATATTAGAAAAACTTCTATAAAGTCTATAATTTTCATAAAGCAATTTTGCCTCAGGCCGTATTAAAGCTTCTTTATATAAATCAGTGGTCAAATAATACCGACTTTTCACAGTTTTGCAATATTTCCAGATCAGATCAGACATTGAGAAGGACCATCAGAAATATACCTATCATCCGACATTTTTAACACACACATTGTAGCTGTAAGGGCATACAGATAGTCCTTAAGTTATGGAATTAATGGAGCCTGCCCATCACGGTTGTGACAGTCATAAAATTCTATGACTTTTTTTGCAGTGGTCATTAAGCAAATCTGATCATTAAACAAACATGGTTTTCTTCAAGTATGGTTTTGCCAAAAGTCAGCTGTAAATGCTGATTTTTGGCAAATTCAGAACATGATTACAATACTATGAGACAGCTGTAAATGCTGAGCACTCAAGGTGTAGTCACATGACTGCAGGAGAGCCCAACCATTGGAATCCAAGTTGTAAGTATCCCCAGATAGATCTGTTGGAACATTGAATGGTCACTAAGCAACCAATTGTAAGTCAATTATCTTTATATTCAATTCTGAACCAAATGAATCCTGGTAAAATTGACCAATTAAGGAGCCAACTAATAACTCTCAGGCAGGGCTCAAAGAAGAGCTGAATTCTGAAATTCTTATTCCAAGTTGTAATAAAAACAAAAAGAAGCAATTGATGAAGAGGACCCACATGAGATGAGAAGATGGAAAGCAAGTGATGAACATTGTACAAACCTGTAATTTATAGGATAAGAATTGTAGAAGGTAATCCTTATTTAACGTTTACTTCAAAATTATGAAAAAACTGAAGTAGGAAGCTCTCTTAAAAATATAAACAAATATCAGTTTCATCTTTAAAAGTTTTGCTTCAAAATAGGAAAACATTTTTTTCTTAAAATAATCCTTCTTCCATGTTCAGGAGAACGTTGTGGTCACTTGGCTCCTCAGCTTACCTATGGAAGCCTCTAAGCCACAGTTCAAGCATGAGCAGTTTGGTGAGCAGTTCTGTGCAGGTAATTGTATTGGCCAATAAATGTATAATGAGGGAAGCAGTAATGTTATCTCTGAAAGCTCTGATGAATAACCTCACTGTGGTGAATCATCACTTTTCCTCACTTCTGGGCTGTTTTTAAAAATGTTTATCATAAGCCAATATCCTTTTATTTTAGGTGGTTGCCCTATTATCAGAATTAATATATGTTCCTTATTTGTACTTTGTGTAATAGTACTAAAAAAAACGCTGCTGGTCTGTTTTACCAGACTATTATAAGGATTCTCCATTCACTGAAAAGCCTTTTATAAACAGCTTTTTTTGCTAACTCAGATATTTTCTCTCTTTTTAGGCTCCAGAGAACCTTTCTAGCCCAAATGAGAATAGCTTATTTAATACTGAATCTCTTGAAAGCCTAGATGGTTTGCACATGGATCTTGACCAGGCAAAGCTGCAGCAGAAGGAACTACAGGATAGAATCCAGCATCTGGAAGAAGAAAAGCAAGAGCTTCAGGTCACCATTGGCCTTCAGAAGCAGCAAGTGCAAATGGAAAGAGAGAAGAACAGCAATATAGCAGAAGAGAATGACAGGCTAAGAAAAATGCTAAGGGAGTTAGAAAAACAGATTTCCCATTATACTCAGGGCACCATTCAGGAGTTCCAGAAATGTTTAGAGACACTAGAACTGAATGCAACTGAGAAGCAGAAAGAATGCTCTGCAAAGCTTGAGAACCTGGAGTCCTCGAAAAATGCCCCTGATTCCAAAATCTTTCTTTTGAATCAAGAGGTAAAAGCCATGGAAATCAGGTTGGCCAGGAAAGATCTCTTGATTGATGAACTTACTGCTAAACTAAAGTCAGCAGAGAAGAAAACTGAGGAGCTTGCAGCAAAAGCAAATAGTCTTATGGATGAAAAAACTCACCAGGCCATCAGTCAATATGAGTCTGTACTAAAGGTTGAGGGGTTATTTAAAAAGCTTTGTTGGACAGAAGAGGAGAAGGCTGATGCTCAGAAACTGTATAGTGAACTTCTTTCTCATCTTAAAATTATGGAACAGCAACTCTATCTGAAAGAAGAGAAACAGAAAGAATTTGAAATGAAACTGAAAAGCCTTACCATTAGCACTAAGGAAGAATCTGAAAAATTGCTTATTAATCTGGAAGCCATGACTACTGAAATGGCTGAAATTCAGAAAGAGCTAACAGTGAAAGACAAAATGGTAATTGATTTTCAAATCCAGCTGGCAGATATACTGGATTATGTAAAATCATTAGAGCAAAAGCTTCAGGAAGAAAAAAAACAAAAGGCAGAATCTGAGAGGCTACTAAGTCATACAAAAACAACAATGGGACAAGAAATAAAAAATTTAATGGAGCATCTTGAATTGCTGGAAGCGCAGCTGGCAAAACTCAATGACATGGTGAAAAATTTAGAAGAGCAAAAAGGGGAAGTTGTTAAGGAAAGAGACTATCTCAAGACAAGCATATTGGAAATGGAACACCAGATCACGAAACAATGCTCCTCATTCAGAAATTCTTTTGAAGAGAATGAAAATCTCAAATCCCAGAATACAAAACAGCAGCAAACCTATCAGAAGTTGGAGGAAAAGTGCAGAGAGTTAGATATATCTAAATCATTTTTAGAAGGAGAAGTTGCTCGATTAAGAGCCTCTGAGAAACAATTCCAGAGTCAGATAGATAATGCCATGGTATCTGTGGATGAAAAGGAGAAAATACTTCAAGAAAAGAACACACTGTTGGATAAAAATTTGCAAAATGCTACAAGACAGAACCAGCTTTTTGATGAAAAATTGAAGGCTCTGGAAGATGATTACCAAAAATTGAAACAAAATGAAAATAGGATTGCAGAAATCTTAAGTGTAGTCCAAGAAGAGCTCCAGAATGCCAAAGAACATAATGTGCAAATGGAAAAGGATCTGTCTTCTTCAAGGCAGAATGAAGAATCTCTAAAGTTACAAGTCACAGAGAAAATTGAGTTACTAGAAGGCCTAAAGAGCCAATGCAGTCAACTTCAAGAATACGCTGAGGGGTATAGAATTAAAATTGAAAGCCTTGAGAAAAATGGCCATCATCAAGCAAAAATAATTGAATCTCTTACTTCTGAAAAGATTTCTGTAGAGAAAGCCCAAATGGAATTAGTATCTTATGAAAAGAATGAAGCTAAAAATTTGACATTAAGACTGGCTGTTTCTGAGGAACAGCTGAATATCAGTTGGGCAGAGATATCTAGACTCCAGAAAGAAATTAAAGAGTTTCAAGCCAAGCTTCAGCAGGCAGCTGTAGAGAAACAAAAGCTTCAGGGCAAATTGGATGTCACTGAATCTGTTTTAAGTGAGCAAAAATTATTGTCTCAGCAGCTGAAACAGCAAAATGAAATATTGAACAGAAACCATATGCAGCAGCTACTTCAATGTAAAGAAGAAGAGGAAATGGAGAAAAAGGAATGGAAAAAAGTAGCTCAACAGAAAGCTGAACTGGAAAAGAATGTGGTGTGCCTGACAAAGGAATTATCCACAGTAAGGAGTGATTTGGAAGTTGTTAATATGGAAAACATGGAAATCAAAGACCATCTCCAAAGAACCAACATGGACATGGCTGAGCTGGGTATTCAGATTTGCTGTCTGACATCTGAAAAGACAGAAATGGAAGAGAAGCTCTCCCAAGTCACAGAGGAGCTCAGAGCTATCAAAGAAAAATCAATCAACGAACAAGACAGGATGCAAGTTGAGCTGACAAGTTTCAGGAAGGAGAAACAGGAATTACAAGAGAGACTGGAAGATTCAAATAATTGTGCTGCCATTGTACCTGACCTGCAAACTCAGCTGGAATTGACAGAGAAACAAACCAAAAGTTTGCAAGAAACCAGCAAAGAAGAGATAGCTACTATCAAATTTCAACTGAGCACAGAAATTCTAAACTATCAGACAAAATTTAAGGTAAATTTTGGTTCCTTTTTAATTAAATAAGGCTGCAATTTTATGGTTCATTTGAATACAGAGCTGTTCTTACAAGTTTACCAATTCAAACTGCTGATTGATCTGCAGCCTTAGTACCAAAAGGAAAAGTGCCAGTTTCTTCCAGTTAAATGAAAGTTGCAAGCCACTTGACCAAAAGAAAAGATAATTATTCCAGGAGGAAAGTTTTTCACCTTATATCATCTAATCCACTGAATACTGTGAGGAGAATGAATTTAGCCCTTTGATAAAATTCAGTTCCCATCCTCTGCTGTACTCCAACTTGAAAGCATAATAATATTCAACTGTAAATATTTTCAGGGGAAAATAGATCCTGCAATACCTTTCCCAGGAACACCTCAGGAAATAAGTTTGCATACCAGTCCCTGGTATACTTCAGGCTGAAGTATTATGTATATAGAAAGAAAGACTTGGAACTAGAGAGAGAACCTGATTTGGTTTATTATCTCTTGAACCGATAGAACAGGATATACACAAGCTTTTGACCCATGCACACAGCCTTTTACTTAGTCCCTTAAAGTGAAACTTGAGCGAGCCCAGAGATGAAAAAAAATCACTATGGGAGACAGAGGAATTGGTGCTGACATGTGGATTCTGACCCTATGTGAGCCTATGATGGTTGAAATGATAACACTGATTTTTTTTGGCCCTCAGATTTCATTTGCTAATATGACTGCGATTTCCCGGTCTAAATATGGCACTATAGGTGCCATAGTCTTTGTTTTCCAAATGCATTGTTAGTGACCAAGCAGAGTTAATAGAGAATATGGAAGCAAAATCACAAGCATGGTCACAAGATGTTTTGTTTAACCACTAATTCATAAATGAAATAAACCCACCATGGTCACAGGATTTTCAATTTAGTGATTGTGGTACTTAGTGAAGGTCAATTGTGTCATTAACCAATCCCAACTGTGGTAATTAAGCAAGGAATGCCTGTAAATCTCATAGAAGCTTTTGTTTGTTGCACTTGTAATGATGACAGTTTCCCTAATTGGTTCCTGAAATCAACAGAAAACTGCATAATCTTTCGGAAAAAAATCATTTTTATTTGTTCTGTTTTGTACCTTTGCAGGCTCTCAGTGAAGAATGTGATAAATTAAAGGAACAACTTGTAGAACAAAACCAACAAGCAAATGCTGCAGAAGTGGCACTCAAGGAAATGCAGGTTGACACTTTAATTAATTTAATTATTATATTATATTTAATTAATTATATTAATATTTAATATAAATATTAATTGACATTTAATTAAACAAACTCACAGAACTATTTCAACTGAGCTAATTATTGATGTTTTAAGCATGTTGATCATCCAGTAGGAAGACTTCTTACTAGTACTGGTACAATAAAATCTTGATTAAACACCTTCTCTCCCATTAAGCAAACTGAGGATACAAATGGATCCAATTTTTGTCTTGACATCTACCCTCAAGTTATGGATAGTGCATCCAACATAGTCTGGATGAGGCAGTTCAGTTTACATTAATTTTGTATCATTTCTATCATTTATGTTACTACTCAAATGTCATACATTGCATAAATATAATTTACCCTTTAACAGACATCTAGTCTGCCAAATTAGTTTCATTGTGTTCTCTCCCCACTACATTTTTGATTCAGTAGTAAGTGGAAAATATATTCCAGTGTTTAAAGAAATTAAGGAAGCTTAAATTAAGAAGCTTAATCTGAGTGGCAGCTAGAACATGATTATTGTCAAGAAATGTACAAATACTTTATACTACATGCATTTTTATGATTTTCCTAAAGTCTGTAAACTCTTTGAAAGCTACCTCAATCTTGAACATTATTTTAAGAGAACAGACCTGCAAACCCAGTTAATACTCATTAGTATAAACTAATTCAAAATTTTAACTGATTTCCTGTTTTCTGACCATAATGAGACCAAAACTTTGGAAAGCTTGAGAGACAATGATGCAAAATTCTTCAGTGTATAGTTCCATTGTGCCTATGCATGTAGCTTCTAGAATCTGTACACTTCCATGGCTATTTATTAAACTGAGAATGCTTACATCAAGATTGTGACCACCATTTTTAAACAATATAGAAAAAAAGCTTTTTATTTCTTTAACACAGAGAAAACACTAGAGAAAGAAAAACGGGAAAAAAAATTATAACAGCCAACTACTTAATAGCCAGCCATCAACTCCCCAATTTACATCTAAAAAGCTATACACAATAGGCACCATATACTGTAAATACTATACACGAAACATCCCAAACACAGAGAACTTTCCTGAGGATGGACTCCAGCAAACGAGTCTGACAGCTCAGAAGACAAAACCTCTGGCCCGATTGTATCCTGCATAATTTATAGTATTGTAAGTAGATGTAAATAATATGCATAATATGGCACAAAGAAAATTCCTCTAAAATACATGTTAAAACACATGTAAAAATGCCTGTTTCTAAACAGCATTAAGCCTCTTCCATACAGAACAATATTGGTCAGTCTTACTATTACAGTATGTTAATACAGAGCCAATTCATAGGCAGAAAGTAAACAAGTAAAGGTAGTGTTCATTTAGCAATCATCTCAAATTACAACAGATCCTCCAAAAATTACTTATATCTTGGTTTCAAAGTTAGACCTCCGGAGGCATTCACACTTATGACCAAAGGTTGGATTCAAAGTTTTTTACTACTGGTTCTGTGGACGTGGCTTGGCGGGCATGGCAGGGGAAGGATACTGTAAAATCTCCAGTCAGAGGTGGTATTTGCCGGTTCTCTGAACTCAAAATTTCCACTACCGGTTCTCCAGAACTGGTCAGAACCTGCTGAATACTACTTATGACCAACTGCAGATCCACTACAGCATGCCCCTCCCCTCTACTTTCTTCCATCCCACCCACCCCACTGGGACCCACAGGCATTCAGTCTTCCTTTCATATGCTTCTCCCCATCCCCACATCACCAATCATTCATTTCCTTTTGTTATAGATCTCGTTACGAAGCTCTGTGGATTGCATTGGGAAAGAAGAGTTAACTGCTCTATCCCTAGGCCATGTGGCCCAGTCCCAGAAGTAGACATTTTTGGAGTGGTCAAGGGGTGCTGGCTAGCAATGCAGCCTTAGGTTTGCCTATGGATGGAGTAGCTTAGACTTCTTCCCCAATGCGGCACATTTGCAATTGTGCCATTTAACTGATTCTATGGCTTGTGAACAAGAAGCATTGGGGAAGGAGAAGGTTGCACAAAGCCCCTGCTTTCAAGCCACACAGTCAGCTAGGTGAAACTAGGCATGTCTCCTTCACCACACTCAAGCTACACACTTGCATCCACAACTGGCAAGTGCCACTTTAAAACAGCTACAGTTCATTGCACCCATTCTGAAAATGGCAGTCGCTTCCTGGATGCAGCCATGTGATCTATGGATGCCGAGCAAAGGAGAGCAAACTCCGCCATTATTTGGCAGAGTTTGCTTTCTTTCTCCAACAATAGCTGTGTAATTTTCAGATGGACATCTATCATATAGTAAAAGATAAGCGAGGATTGTAACAGTAACCTTTTTTGCTATATCCCATGGCTGTTAAATCTATTGTCTTCTATAGAATGATACATTTGGTATATAATTTGAAATGCCCAACATACACAATGTGACTCTGGGTAACATACAGCATTAATAAAAATTAACCAACTCCTCATACCATAAAATATTAAGCATATGATACAGTATTAAAGATAATATTTATAGCTCAGAGTTGAATTATGGAGTCCTTGATGCTCTCAAAGATTGCTTGTATTTTTGCAGCTATTTCATTACCAAACAAAATCATCAGTTGCTAGAAGAGAATAGGGTTTGCATTCTTTTTATATACAAGGGAATTGCCCTATTTGTTGATGGGAATGGATGTTAGTGATTCCTTAATTAGACTGTTTGCCTGAGTTGGTGGAGTATGGTTTACTTCTTGATAGTTGGTCTTTTTGTTTCTTTTTTACTTTTTGATTGTCTCATTTGAATGCTGTGTACAATCATGTTGTTTATCTCTATGTGCCTGTTGATAGCTGATTTGTCTGAGTGTCAGGCTTCCAGGCTTCTTGGTCTAAGATACTGATAGTTTTCCCTGTGGAAACTTTGCTTTTATCCATGTGTTCTGTTTTGAAATTAAGGAATTTTCATTTGTATTTTCTCACTGCTAGTTCATGGATGTATTCAGCTAATCTTCTACCCGTTTGTCCTACATGTGCTGCAAAAGTGTATGTTGCAGATGACTCTTGTTTTTCTTTACGGGGCTCTTGGATGCTTTGGTTTACTTAGGATGCTTTGGAAGGCATTAGTTGGTTTATGTGGTTATAATAGTCTTGGTGATTTCTGAAATGTTTTTAATGTATGACAGTGTTATCCTTATCCCTTTAACAGCTTTTGTTCATTGAGCTATATTGGGTTGAGTGGTCAGATACTTTTTGATAAAGTGGCATGGCTATCCATTTTGATGGAAAATGTTGCATAGATTATCAACTTAATATGTCATCAAATTGTTCCTCTCTGAACATCTACTTGGACAGTATTTTCTATAATCCCTTAATACCATGATCACATGGAAACAAAATTGTTTGCTTTATAATTATTATTTTTATTCTAAGTAGGAGATTAAATACTGCTCTATTTCAATGCAATTAAAATATCATGCTGCTAGGCTGTGAAAAGAGACCTGTGTGCAAAATTGAACCTTTCCATGGATGAAGTGACTGAGTACAAAGCAACCCAACAAAAAAAAGAAGAAGAAATTGCAGAACTTAAAGAAGATCTTAAAAGGTTAGAACTTAATCGAAATTATTTCAGTCGTGTGTGTGTGTGTGTGTGTGTGTGTAGGATTTTATAAATATTTGATCATATAGGGAATCCTTGATTTATGACAGTTCATTTACTGATTGTTCAAAATTACAACACACTGAAAAAAGTGACATGACCATTTTTCACAGTTACAACCTTTGTAATATCCCCATGATCATGTGATGGAAATTCAGATGCTTGGCAAAGGGTTCATACTCATGACCATTGCTGGGGCCCAAGGCCATGTGATCACCTTTTGCAAACTTTTGACAAGCAAAATCAATGGGGAAGCCAGATTCACATAACAGCTGGGTTACTAACCTATCAACTGCTTCTATTGTTTTCATTGCTCCTTTATGATAAGCAGTGGTGCCAATGATTGCCAAGTGACTGGAAGAAATTATTTTGCTCTTCTTCACTGTCCCATCATTTGCATTAAGGAAGACAATAATATTGAAGATACTCTCCTCTTGGTCTTTGCACTTCCGGACATCCATATTTTGTGTTTGTCAGCAGATCTGATTTATTTGCAGCTGTGATACATTTCAAATCATACTTTGTGAATTGCTTATGCTAAATTTATTGTGAAAAGTATATGGGCAGCTGTTTTTGCTTGATGGAAATAACTTTTAACTCCTTGAATCAACACAACTTTTCTTTCACAATAGAGGATCAGCTACTGTTGCATTTTGCAGAGAAGCTATTGCTTCATCGTTTTTAGAAAAGATAACCAGATAATTTTGCCTCTAGAATTTAAAAGCAATTCCTCTCCATTCAGTAATGGAAGAATTATCAATCAGTGCACATAACATGAACTGAAAATGTGAAAGGAAGGCAAAACACTGATTGATTGAATGTTGATCTTGCATTCTCCCATTAATTGCAGGAGGCAGCCTCTTAGTTCATAATATTCTCAACATTTCAAGAGTCAGATGTAATAAAAACCACTGAGGGCCCATAATGTGTTTCCCTTGATTGTACTGTACAATTGTACAGGTTGTACAATTGTACAACATATAACCATGGTTGAGTCTGAAATTTATCTTGCTAAGCAAGGGAACAGGACACTTAACAGGTGTTCAATGAGTTTTACTCTATTGTATTACCTTTCTTGCCCCAGTTGCTAAGTGAATCACTGCAGTTGTTAAAGTAATAATATGGTTATAAAGTGAATCTGACTTCTCCAAGCATCCGAATTTTGATGATGCAATGGTTGTAAGTGTAAAAAAGGTTCATAAATCACTTTTTTCAGTGCTGTTGTAGCTTTGGGCAGTCACTAAATGAATAGTTGTAAGTTGAAGACTACATATATTAATTATTTTTATGTTTGCAAATATTTACTCTTCTCTTTCTTCAGAAGTTTCTAATAGATATTTATTAGAATGCACATAAATAAAATTAACATGAAATTATAAAAAGAAACACAAAAATAACCTCACCATAAGAAAAAAATTAAAAATGAACCAATAACACCATTTATGTGTGAATACAATGTATTCATACAATACATTTCTAGATTAGATAAATAGTTTATCAAAACTTATAGGCTATACATGACTATCAGAAGAATTATATTAAGACTCGGTTTTGGTGAGATGGGCAGCTTTATAAATATGGTTCTGAATAAAATAAATAAGCATGCAAGCAAGCCAAGACACAGTGGCAGAAATGAATTTCTGTTTAACAGGATAAGAAGGGAGACAAAATCAGGGCTAACAAACTTAAGTATGCTTTCAAGTGATACTTTGTGCTCTCCCCAACTTAAAATCAATCTTTGCATTATCGTGTACAGAAGAGTTGTCTTGTTACAGCCGTTACATCTTTTGTGCAGAACAAAAGAGAATTTTCTGAAGCCTTAGAGCTGTGCCTGAAAATCTCTTGTTCTTCTTAAGGATAAGAGATTTTCAAATATTGTTTACCAACTACAAATTCATTTCAGATATGTTGGAAATCAACTCTGAGAATTTCCTTCTAATATTTCCTAAAAAACTTTGTAAGTGGTAATTCAATGCACATAATCTCCAAGTTATGACAGTTCACTTAGCAACCATTTGAAGCTATGACCTAGCCCTTCTAAGTACTTACTACCCAGTCCTGAAGTTACAAATGTTGCACCACCACAACCATCATTCACACGAACAATGGCAGAAGTGCTGCAATATTCACCCTGCCTATTCCCCCTCCCCCGGCCAGGTCTTCATAGGGACTGTGCCTATGGAGACTCAATTACTTTATGAAGATCTCCTCTCTGCTATGGTTTCTTTGCCTGCTTCCTTACTTCAGGCCTTTGGTGCATTTTCAAAGAACAGAGGCCTAACGTACTCATTTTACTGATCTCTCATGATCTTGCACTACTTTAGGCCTATGTTCTCTGTGAATTGAGGCCTGGATAAGTGTCATGCCCCTGGTCTCCACTGACTCCGAGGAAGAGGAGGAACAGCCAACAGGGAGTGGGAGTGTGGCTCCAGAGGTGGTAGAGGACGCTGGGGAAAGGCAGAGGCCAGCTGAGCAGTCAGAGGAGGATCCAGGCCCATCCCCTATCCATCCTAGGTCACACAGGGAGGAGAGGATCAGGGAAAAGTGAGGTCTACTCAAGAGAAGATTACCATGATCCTCTTCGTGGCTTGCAGCTGGGAGCTATGTATATATTTTTGTAACTACGCAGTTAGAATTGCTGGAGTCAAAGTTTAGTGTTTACTTTGAAAGGTTTATCTTTGCTGGCATTCTTCCCATGGACTCTCCTCAGTTATTTTCCTGGAGTTTATGATTAGTTATCTTGGCTTGCTTTGGAATTCTCATCAATGCAGTTTGTTTTGGTTTTCTTTTTGCCTCATTATTTACTTTTGTGACTTTAAACTGTGCCTAATAAAACAGTGAAGTTAAGTTGAAGGCCTTTAATGTATGTTTTGGGCTTTGGGTTATTTTGAGAGACCACAGGTCATCACAATGAGATTTGCAGCAAAAGGCTTTGCAAACAGAGGAAAGGCTTCGGTCCTTCAGGCTTTCCCTCTATTTGCTTTTTCCTTGCTGAAGCCTATAGGGAGATTGTGTCCCTGTAGGCTTCGGTACCCTGTGCCTTTGTTAATACAAGCCGAGTTTGTGAGGAGTGGGCAATGTCCCTCTGAAGCTCCATTCATACTGGCAATGACTTTTTGCAAAGGACTGCTGAAACCTACAAGGAAACAATCTCGCTGCTGGATTTGGCAACCCTTTTACTGCAAGAGCGAGCTTGAGAGGGATTGGCGTGTCTCTCCCAAACTCCATTCGTGCTGGCAAAAGCTTTTTACAACAGCTTGCTGAAGTGTTTGGAAGCTAATGGCACACTTTTAGGCAACAGATTTCATTGGCTTCCAAACCCTTTGTGGGCTGAGATTGGAAACTTCTGAGTGTTGTGGTCTCATGCAGCAGAGAGGCTGGAGACGAGACAGCTTGCTAGATCTTTGCAAGGTAAGTGACCTGGTGTGGCAGGACGGTGGGGAGCAATTGTGGGGAGCATGAGGTATTTCAGTGGGTCAAGGATACCTTGGGTGGTCTTAAGCAGGTGGCCCGTTGCATCACTAGGCCCCACCATGGCCTTTCCTACCCTGAGATATCTCATGTGCAGTTAACGACCCATGCATTTGATTAGTGAATGAGTAAGTGAAAGCAGGGAGTGATTGTGATCAATTTACTCCTACGAATCCTCAGGTTACGAATATAATTGGCAGGTTCCTTTACAAATGTAACTTGAGGACTTGTATAGTTGCGACAGCCAGGATAGGTTAAATTGCTCTTAAGTGGGTGTGGTTAACTATGTTCTTCAGATTGGAATCTATTATTAATTACAAATATTCAATTTTGATCTGCATTCTGATCTCTATGAGCGTTCTAAATATATGTAAAGTATAAGGATGGTTGCTGTTTCACAATATCTGATTTTTTAAAAAAAAATCTATGTTGACAGTTCGATAACTTTTTTTTTGAAAGAGTCTTATCTGTACTTGAACATAAAGAAGTGATAGAATCATTATCATATTAAGTACTTTGTGAAGATTAATAGTATTATTTCTGTTAATTGTAATCTGGATAATAATAAAAGCTGTTAAAGAAAACAGAATATGTTTTTGAATAGAGCCCAGGCCGAAGTCAGCAGAACAAATGAACAAATTCAAGACTACTGTGGTAAATTCAACAACATGAAATCAGAACGAGACAACAATGAGGCCAAGTTACTGGTTGAACTGGATGATCTAACTAGAACAAAGCAGTTCCTGGAAGAAAAGTTAATTGAACTTCTCAGGTTGGTAGATTTATTTTTGGGTATCCTCACTATCAAGTAGAAAATCTATTTTTTTTTCACTTCTAAATTTTATTGCTACAGAATTTAAAGAATTCTGTATTAAAAAATTCATGGTTGGCAGTGCCACACAAAGTTATCTTAAAATCTACAATCTTCAATTTAATATATTCTAAATATATTGTATTCTTCTCTGCAGCACTAATTATGCTTTTTTCCGTTTGGAATTCTAGAAGAAACAGTATTTCTTCCTCCTTTATCCAGGAAGTATGTTATCATTCAGGAATGGAGTTTGCTTCCAGTCCTTAGAATAGAATGAGCTGACAGGGATAAAAAAATCAAAAATAATTTTTTAAAAGTTTCTTTCAACAAATTAATAACAAGAAAAAAGTTAGGAAACAGTAGGTCACCTAAGGAAAGAAGATGGCAAGAAAGTAACATGCAGAAGGGAGAAAATAGACCTGTTTAATTTGTTCTTTGCATCAATTTTCACACAAAAAGAAATTATAGCCCAACATACCAAAAAACCTACTGTAAAAGACAAACTAGAAATAAAAATTAAAATAAGCAAGAAAATGTTAGAATACCTATGACCTTGGCAAATATAAATCACCAGAACCTGACAGATTACATCCCAGAGTTCTGAAGGAGCTGGCAGATGTTATCTCAGAACCATTGTACCATATCTTCCAAAAATCCTGGAGCATCAAGAAAGTACCTGAGGATTGTAAAGGGCTGATGTTGTTCCCAACTTTAAGAAGGTGAGAGGGAAAGACCCAGGAAACTACAGATCAATCAGCCTAACATCAATACCTGGGAAGATACTAGAAAAGATAATAAAAAACATCTGCAAACAACTAGAAGCAAATAAAGTTATAACTATCATTTTCTCGAAAATAAGACCTATCCCAAAAATAAGACCTAGCATGTTTTACATCTGTGCCTAATATCAGCCCTACTCCAAAATAAGCCCTACTTAAGAGCCTGTGCACCCGCCCGCCCATTTCATTTGGTTGCTTGCAGTGCTGCAGGCTGGGGATAGAGCTGCTGCACATACCCTGTACTGATTTACCTCAGGATCCTTGCAGCCAGGACATCCACATCTTAACACCTGCTTTGCGGCAGCAGCACCAGCACCAGCAGGCATATACAGCAGGAGCCCAAGGGCCACTGGCCCACTTTTTCTGCTTGCAGCTACAACAAAGCAAGAGGCCAAGTGGTATATTGCTGCCATGGTTGCGAGGTGAGGCAGTTATTGTGGTGTGCATGGCCTGGCTGTGGGGACCCTGAGGTAAGCTGGTGGGGGACACGTGGGAGCTCCACCCCCACCTCATGGCAATGCCATTGGGGCACTACACAGCTTTCTGCATTACCACAAGCAAGCAGAAGAAAGGAGCATCCTGTACATGAAAAAAAGGCACTCCCCCAAAATAAGCCTGATTGCATGATTTGAGGCCCCAAAGAAAATAAGACGTGGTCTTATTTTCAGAGAAACACAGTAGTAGCTAGCACGGGTTTGTAAAAACAGATCATGCCAAACCAATCTTATTTCATTCTTTGATAAAGTCACTAAATTAGTAGTAGCCACTTCCAGCACTTGTGCCAAAGGTTCACTATCACAGGCATAGGGAATCCATTTCTTTTATCCAGCCCATCATTTTTATATATGATACCAATAACATTTCCATTTTATTGTTATATTGATAAGGCAATACATATTTAAACCTTTGCACTGACTACAAAGTCTGATTGCATCACATGTTCAACACAGGAAAAGATTGTGGTGGGGGCAGATAACATTTCAGCCCAGATACACTTGCTCACTTGTTCTTTAATGATGAAAAGAAGTTAATACTGATGAGAAAAAATTAATTGTTTAATCTGCAAATATAGTCTGTTTTAAATCTAAAATGGAAGAATTTATTTGCAGACTCAGGAATATTCAGTATCTTTTTCTTATGCATGTGTAATTGTTTGGAAGCAATATAACCTCTATCTGGCCGTGGCATCACACTCTGCACTGTTAACTAATTTTTTTCATTGTATGTTTGACTATTTGTTAAATCCTGTGGTTTGTGGATGATAGCTTGACATTTAAAGTTGCAGAGAAAAAAGTGCTTCTTCTCTAATAATGTTTATTTAACATTAGACCCAAATGCTTTCTGTCTATATGCTTGTAACAAATTACCTTCCTTGGGTGTTCGGTAGCCTTTTTATCTGGTTTGTTTTTGTAAATTTATTCTTCCTTAGGCTATGTTCTTCTATGTGAAATTCTGCAAAAAAATATTTGCCCTTTCAATAATTTTGAATATTTGCCATTTATTATTATTGGAGCCTAATGTATAGCCTATTGATATGTAAAAGGAATCTGAATGAACAAATCACCACAAAATGGTGCTGATTGTATTCAGTTTGAAAGCAGAGTCATCCAGTGTGCAATGCATCATTGGGAAAAAGTACCCCCTTAGATTTCATAGCTGATTGTACCATTTTTAATTGCAATAACTGCAGCCAAAACTTTTTGGATTGTAACAGATGATCAGTTTATGGCATTATGTAAGAAATTTGGCTAAACAAACCAGAAGGGTTCTGTTATTGGTTTAACATAATATGTTCATGTGAGAACTTTGGGTCATTATACTCCTAAGATATAAATTGGCTAATGATTGAAACATGTTGAAAGATGCTCAAAATGTGGGTCCTAGTTCACACATAATGCTTATCACAGAATCATAGTTTATTATCTGTTTCTGCTAAAGGAAGAAACAAGGAAGAATTAATGAGAAATGGATACCATTGAGTTTCCTTGTTCTCTAATGAACCAGAATTCTGTTTTTGTTTATTGATATGAATATGTGTGTGTGTGTACACTTTATGTTTACATTTCTTATGTGCTAAAAAGTAAAGTCTCCCTCAATTCAAGCTGGACTTTTGGTGAGTTCATGGATTGCCCATAAAGTTTGCTTTGGTGGCGATATGGAAATAGTTTTCCCCTTTTCCCCCCAGGCTAGGCAATTACCTTCATATTTCCTGGTAGTCCCATTGAAGAATTAACCAGATGCAAACTTGCATATGTTTTTAAAACCAGCCATGATCAACACTATATAGCTACTTTCTAAAACTTAAATTTCCTACTATAGGAAATTTTAAAAAAATCAAAGTAGCCTCTCAGGACACCAAGCAACTTCAGATTTATCAGACAATTCTTAATAAAGTGAATTTCTCCTATAGGGAACCAGATTTAAGATTTTAAAACACAAATTATCAAATGACAAATTATTTTTCATACATGCTTTTGAAAGGGACAAGGATGCTCTTTGGCAGAAATCAGATGCTCTGGAATTCCAGCAGAAACTCACAGCAGAACAAAGATGGGTTGGTGATGCCGAAATCACCAGTTGCTTGGAATGTCAAAAAGAATTTGGCTGGATGAATCACCGACATCATTGCAGGTCAGTATTTGAGGTGATGAGCAGTGATGATTAGCCTGATGTTTAATAATCAGCACAATTTATTTTTATGTTGTGTATTATGCACAAATTTGGGTTTGTCCCCAGTTCCATCCAAAATACTATTCAAATAGTAACACTATCCAAAAGATATTTAGTTAATTGTCATGTTACATACAAATGATAGGGGCTTCAATTATGCCATAATAACTGTAGTACTTTTTTATCACTTCACTTAATCTGTATTCAATCAGTGTCATTGAATACAGAGTCCATTGAAGGACTCTATATTCTCTGTGGATTAATCTTAGGGTAAAATAGTAATTTGTCCAAAGTGCTGAGTTACTTGCACCAAAAAAGGGGCATGCATAAGCGCACCAACATGCCTACCATCACTGTCCTATTATTTCTTTTTATTTTTCTTATATGTATCCATTTCATGTATTCATAACTATGTTTATACTTATATCTATTATCTTGTAAGCAATTGACAAATCAAATAAATAAATAAATAAATAAATCGCTTACTTAGAGTCAGAAGTGCAGTTTCCATAAACACCATCTCTAGTGTGAAACTCTCACAAAGTTTTAGTGATTCAGACCAAAATAAATTGTTACTATTATTTCCTTAAGGTATTACTAAGTTGTGTTTCATCAAATACAAATAAAAGCCTGTAGGAAGAAATTCATTTATTTGTATACTCCAGAATCTTTAATAATGTTGCTTTACTTTGAATTCAATATTTGATCATACAGTGAGTCTTCAACTTACAATCATTCATCAACAGTTTCAGTTCTTCAACAGTTTGAAGTTAACAATAATACTGAAAAAGGTAACTTATGACCATTTTTCACACTTACAACCATTGCAGCAATATTTTTGCAGAGAGTTGTAACAGATCTTGCTATGGGTAGTTAATCTGTATGTATTTCTGTAAACAGAATTCTCAGTCATCCTATTCAGTTATTAAATCACAACATTGACTGTTTTTAAAACTTCGTAGGTTTCTAATACAAACTCTCAGGTCCTATATTCCTAGAACATTATTATATTGTTATGGTTTAGGAAACTATATATAAAGCTATAGTCTATAGGTATGAGAAGGGAGGCAGGAGTAAAGAGAGAAGGGCAATAAGCATGTTTTACTCAGCAGCAAAGTTTTTGCCCTTTATGGCAAAAAATGAATTGGTTCAGATTTTGATGAACATACATGTAAGTGTATTATTAGGAAATCACTTTTGTAGCAGGATGTCATCTTATAATTGATGAACGGAAGAGAAAGTTCAAAACCAGATCTCCTTGAAATCATTAGAAATATTAAAATTATATCTGAAAAAATGTTTTATTTCATTGTCAAAGAATCACAGCAAGCAGAAATTACTTTTAACAGGTTCATCGTCTTTTCTTTCATTCTACACTTTTAACTGAGAACAAACTGTATTGAAAAGTGTAGAATGAAAAAAAATAAGTGTCAGGATCAAGATGAACCTGTTAAAAATAATTTCTGATTGCTGTGATTATTTGACAATAAAATAAAATATTTTTTTCAGATACAATTTTATTGTGTCCCATTAACACCTTAATTTTAAATATATATTTTTACTTCATTTTTTTTAGAATGTGTGGACGTATTTTCTGCTATTACTGCTGCAACAATTATGCCTTTTCAAAGCAAACTGGAAAGAAAGAACGCTGTTGTCGAGCTTGTTTAAAAAAAGTAACTGCCAATCCCATTGATTCTGAATTAAACTTGACACCAGAAGGATCATCTTCATCATCAAGTCTGTTAGCCTCAGCATTGTCCCTGGTCCACAAAATTTTGGGTGAGCTTCAATATATTTTTCAGAATTTACTGTGACTTTACAAAACTTCAGATTTTTTTTGGTCAGTTTGTTAAATAATGCAGGATATATTTCCTAATTTAGGAGACCCTAATGAGGAAATTGAATTATCCTGTGAAACTGGGATGGTGACATGCTAGAATGATCTGTTTTCTTTCCCTACAATAGTGCAATGCTGTATTTTCACTATGGTGGAAATGTGTGCAAAAGAGCACCTAAGCTTTTGGATTTTCTTTCAGATGCATGCTTCATTCATGTTCAGGTAGTTAGGTATTAGAACCTTAATAGTACATATGCAGCACTCAAAATCTATCAATACAATAGGTTCTCCTTCAGCTCAAAAATCAGAATCTACCTTTATGAAAGTTTATGTGGATTAGGCAGAAATGGATGTGTGCTGTACGCTATTAGAAACAGCCACTTTTCAAATCTTGGAGACTGTCATTCTGCATGTAGTCGTTACTTTTTGAAATACAGTACATAAGAAATGTCTATTGGTAAAATATCAATGCAATTTGTTTAATGTCTTTTCTGGCAACCCAACCCTACAATTATTTCCCCAAAATGAAGTTTTCCTGCTACACAAATAATATTTTTATATCTTCTCCTTCTGGCATAGTTACAAACGAGGCCACTAAGTCCACAGATGATACACTGTTTGATATAATAACAGAAGAAGAAGTAGGTCGAATACAGGAATGTGATTCTGTTCACAGCAAAAATCGAACTGAAGAATCTTTGGACCATGGTGTGCCTGATCTGTGAGTAAATATAACTTTAAAAAATAGATGTTAATGCCACTGATTAGCAGAAAAGGATGTGCATGATATGTAATGGAAAGGAAAATTATTTCTTTCACATTCAAAAATCAAAAACATCGTCAATTCATAGAGAATATAATTATAGAGGGAGATTGCTTTGGCCTCTTTCAGGATTGTAAATGCATATGTTCTTTCAAAATAAACAGTATATCCAGTGGGAACATTTTGAATGCACATTCCTAGTACCAAACCAACAAAATCCCGCCACCTCCAAAAGAGCAAAAGTTTGGTTCAATCTTTTTTAATAAGGTCATTTCATCATCCTGCCTATTGAAGTTCTTGGCTGCCAAGAATCAAAGGAGAAAAATTCTGTAAGATTTTGGTCAGGAAAAGTTGCTAATTCTCATCTAAAAAGTAGTGAGCATGTCTCCACATTATGGGAGAAGATCTAGGTCTGCAGCAAGGATTGAAGTAAATAAAAGCGCAGTATAGTGGTTAAGCTGTTGGAGTAGGTCTGGGAAGTTAGGTTTACCCTTGATCACATAAGCTGTCTGAGTAATTTTGAGCCAATCCATTTGTCTTGGTTCAGTTTAGCTCACAGGTTTGTTATGGGGAGAAATTTGAGGACAGCCTTGAATCCAGGAGAGGTGGGTCATAAACCTAATAAATTTTAAGATAAAACTGAGCTGTGTGACCTTGGGACAAGCCCTCTCTCTCAGCCCCAAGAAGCAGGCAATGGTAAACCATTTCTAAAATCTTGTCAAGGAAATTGCAGAGCTTCTCCAGACAGTTGGTAGTAGTCAATGCTGACTAAAGGCACTCTAACCCACAAAGATATAATTAAGTAGGCTATGTTGTCTTTCTCAAATAAAATATTTAGCATGTGCTTGTAGCCCATAGAAAAGTTTGAAATGTTCTTACTTATATCTCTAATTTGTAATTTGGACTGTACAAATTCTTGAAGACAGTGCTTGGAAGGAATAGAAAGCAATTATCTTGAAACTATCAAAGCATCTATGCTTTTTTTTCAGGCTCAGACAGATGCTTCCTAAGCAGCTCGCAACAGCAGTAACTCAGAGCACCTAACATTAACACACCTTCCTCCTACTTTATTTACAACAACAATTGGGGTGAATTGGGCTGAGAATAATTGGCCAGAAGTCACTTAGCTGACTTTCATGGCTAAGGTGCAACTAGAACACAAGTTCTCCAGCTTTCTAGCCCAGTGCCTTAACCCTTCAGCAGAGGATATGTCAACCTACATTGTAGAGAACATATCCTCCATCTCACATCCAGCCTGCTGCTAAGCTGTTCAGTGTTATATTAAGTGTTCATCATAAGAAAGGGAAAGAAACCTTTATGCAGGCCTTATAACTTGCATTAAAGAGAGGGTCAAGGTGATGCAGCGGGGGCAGCAACTGCTCAGCTCCAGTTGGGTTTGTAGGTCTCCTGTAGGACTGCCCTCCTTCCGCTAGTAGCTCAACTTTTGGCCTGTGATTCATAACTCTCGAAGATTCTCTCCCTGACCCCTCCCCCACACCCATGAAATGCTTTGCTAATTGGGAGTAGAAATCATTTGGAACTGTTCTTTAGATTGACAGGTAAATCATAAAAAAGGGAAAAAAGTCACCATTTGAAAATATTGCCAGCATTTTTAACTTTCTTTTTTTAAAAATAAACTTTATTGATTTTACAATTAAAATAAACAAACAAACATACACAACATAGAAAAATAAGGAAAAATAAGAAAAACGAATAAAAGACAGTTCCATTATCGACAGTTTGTGGTTCCTTATTTGTAATCATTGGTGTCATATTTACAATTAAAGCTTAGTGCGAATATATAGTTACTACAGTTATAGCTTAGCCTCCTTTACAGTTTACTGTTGTTGTATTATCTATCTTCGTTCTATCCAATCATACCAATAGTTCCAACTCTTGTAATATTCTGATGCTTCTTTGTCTCTAAGTGCTAGGGTCAGTTTATCCATTTTTGCACAACTTACTATTTTCTGAATAGTCATTTCCTCTGTTGGAATATAAGATTGTTTCCAACATTGTGCAAAGGACAATCTAGTTGCTGTGAGTATGTGTAATATTATGTATTTGGCTTTTGAGGGAATTGTCTATTAAATATCCCTAGTAAGAAGAATTATAGTTTGAGTTCAATCTGTTCAGTCGTAATTTCCTCTAACCATTTTTTAATTCTCTGCCAATATCTTTGGGCTTCAGTACAGGACCACCACATGTGGTAGAATGTTCCATGTTTCTTTTTACACTTCCAGCAATTCGGATACATGTTGGGGGACATCTTCGCTAGTCTCAAAGGAGGGAGATGCCATCTATAGAACATTTTATAGGCATTTTCTTTGTATGTTGCTGATTTTGTAATTTTATTATTTCTGGTCCAAATCTTTTCCCATTCTATTAAAGTAATGCTGCGTCCTATATTTTTACTCCAAGCTATCATATTACCTTTGACTACTTCCTCCTCTAGTTCTATCTCTAATAGGTAATTATAAATTTTTGTTATTTTTTTTTTATCTGGACCTAATAAGATTTTATCTAATTGTTGTGGTTTACTATAGATTCTTTCTTATCCTGTCTGTATCTATTTTGTATTTGGATATTTGCCCAGCGGTCAATTTGTAGCCCTTGTTGTTGGAAATCTTGCCATGATTTTAAAGTTCCTTGTGTATCCAGTAAATCTTTGTATTTTATCATCTAATTAATATCCAAATTGTTCAGGTGGATCATCACCTCCATTGTTGAGATCCAAATCGGGATTTTTAGATAGTGTTTTTTCCTTATTTTATTCCAATTGGCCAATAAAGAATCTCTAATTACATGTCTATGAAAATATTTCTGTTTGGTTTTTCCTGTGTCTCATAGAAACGCATGCCACCCCCTCTGTAAATTGTGGCCTTCTAAGAATAGTATTATTTTATTCCATAAATTTACCCATTCTTTCAACCATACTGGGGATGCTGCACTGTGGTATAGTGCCATACCCCCCCTGCTCTTCATATCTTGCATTGCTTTTAAATTTATTGTCAGATTTTTCCCCTTGCCAAATAAATTTTGCAATTATCCTATTGAGTAATTGCAAAGTAGATTTTATGTATTTTAATTGGTATTGTCTGAAATAAGTAGATAAATTTAGAAAGAATAGTCATTTTGACAGTGGCAATCCTCCCTAATAGGGAAAATTTGATGCATATCTCTAGGTCTTTCTTTACCTGTTGCAATAATTTATTGTAGTTATTTTCCATTAGTGTCTTACATTGAGCCGTCAATCATATTCCTAAGTATTTAATTTTCTTTACCACTTGTAATTCCATCGCCTTTTCCAATTCTGATTTCTGTTTTTCTGTTAAGTTTTTGGTTATTAATTTCATTTTCTTTCTATTAATTTTAAGTCCTGCAACTTTTCCAAATTGTTCTAGCTCATTCAACAATTCCTGTCCTTTTTCAATTGGATCCTCAATGAAAAAGACCATATCATCCACAAATGACTGCAATTTATATTCTTCTTTCTTAATCTTTAACCCCTTTATTTCTGGGTCCTGCCTAATTCATGTGAGTAATGTTTCCAAGGATAGTACGAAGAGCAGGGGTGATAGTGGGCATCCCTGTCTAACTCCTTTCTCTTATTTTTATTGATCAAATATATTCTCCATTAATTACAATATTTGCTTTTTGTGAGGCGTAAATTGTAGTTATAGTGTTTTCAAATTTAGTGCCTAAATTCATATTATAGATTTTTGTTGGATTATGAATTGCCAATTTAATTGCCTTCTGCGCATCCAAGAATACAAGGGTTATTAGTTTTTCCGGATGGGCTTCGCATTATGCCAAGACGTCTAACGCTATTCTTAGATTGTTCCTAATTTGCCTGTTGGGGAGAAATCCATTTTGGTCTTTATGTATATACTCATTCAAGGTTCTTTTTAGTCTATTTGCTATGATAGTAGCAAAAATCTTGTAGTCAGTATTTAACAAAGAAATTGGTCTATAGTTTTGTATATGAGTCGGGGCTCTGAATCTTTCTTTGGGATCAACGAAATCAATGTGTCCCTCCATGAATCCGGCATTTTAGCTGCAAGTAAAACCTTGTTATGTATTTCCACCATAAAGGGTCCTATTTGTTCTCCTATTGCCTTGTAGAGTTCCCCTGGGATCCCATCTGGTCCCGGAGTTTTATTATTTTTTTGATTTTCTATTGCTGTTTTCAGTTCAGACCACGTAATATCTTTAATTAGTATTTCTTTCATCTCATCCCCAATTACTTTATCTTTTGCCCAAGTAATTTCTTATCATATCCTCATTTACCTCCTCCTTTTTATAAAGGTCTTCAAAATATTTATATGCAATTCCTTTTTTCTGTTCTATTCCCTGTTGGGCATCCTCATTTCCATCTATTAATTGGTAAATTAATCTGAAACTTTTTTGAGTTTGTAGGACAGCCATCTCCTTGGTTTGTTATCTTGTTCGAAGAATATCTGTCTAGCTGTATTTAACTTTTTAATCATTCCTTCCTGTTCAATTAAGTTCAATTTGTGTTTAATTACTGTCATCTCATTTTGCAATCTACAATCCTTTGGGGAACTTTGTAACTGGCTTTCTAATTCTTTAATTCTTTGTTTTAATTTGTTTTGCTGGGCATAATTTATGATATATGATATGATATATGATCATATAGTATATGATATTGTTGTGCCCATTATTACTGCCTTCATTGTATCCCAAATATTTTGCTTCGTAGTTGCCTCATTATTATTTTCTTTTAGAAAATAATTTAGTTCCTCCTTGAGTCTATTCGTAAATTCTTTTTCCTTAATTAGCTGAATGTTTAGTGTCCACCTTTTCTTTGGCTTTTGCCTACCTTTCCACAGTATCTGAATCGGGTTATGATCTGCCCATTCATTGGGTAAAATTTCAATCTCTTTTAATTCATTTACTATTTCACCATTCATCCATACCATATCAATTCGTGTCCA